CCTCTGCTTTCGTCCTGGTACACTTTTTACAGCCAGTGTGCAAACGAAATCAAAAAGACCCCATTTCCAGGGTTCTCGGAAGCAAAGTTGTCATAGATTAGTAAACTTTTATAGGCTAGTGACGAACAGCAGAATATAGCAAATATGGTGGAAGAAAATCACATGTGTTTCTGTGACTTTCTAAACAGAGAGATTGATTATACCATTTAGAAAGGAGATGTCAAATTTATCATCACCCCCACAGACAACTTACAATGTTAATAACAGTGGAAACGCGTCATCAAAGTCAGTCCAACTTTCTGTTTTCTGTTCAAGATTATATTTAAATATCTATTATATCTATTATATATATTGCCGATGACTATTATAGAAAAATAAATAAATATATATATATACATATATATATATATAATACATATAATGGATATTATATGTATATAACGGGTATACAATATATCCTCCTGAAGTCTGGATGTCCTGTACAGAGCACATTCAGGGCTTTTCATAGATACCAAATGATTGGACATTAATTTAACGATCAAGTGTAACACCCTTATGGAAATATAATATTTTGTAATTATCATTTAAATCCGACTAATTTTCAAATTGTTTGTCATAAATCAACATCTCAGGAAAATGTTATGGGCTTTCAAATCAAAATATGACCTTCTGATATTGATTTCTTACATGTCTACTGTAGAGGACACCAGGACTTAAAGCATGTTTATTACACATTATGGGAGACACAACAAATGAATAGAGAATAAATCATATATTAATATTCCTATTAAATATTAGATATTATTATGACAATCTTGCTAATTATTACTCCTATTACTGCACTTGTTTGTTCATTCTATGTTGCCCCAAAAACACATTAATATGCAAATTAGAAACAGTTTATAGATACATTGTATTAGGGATATGTCGGTATCAAATTTTCATGTTGCAATTAATTGCTAATGCTGTTATTACGGTATAATCACGATATTGAAATTTTGTTTAAAAAAAAGTGCTGTCATAATACAGTATAACAGGCGTAATAACTTTTTTCTTATAACAAAAATAACCGAACATTTAAATAATTTGTAATATATAATTATTCACGGTATTTAGAAGTGCCCACGATATTCGTGCATATTCATTACCGTGATGTATCGCATTACCGAATACCGGCACAAGTCTACATTGTATGTAATGGAAAAACTCGTTTATGGCCATTTTACACACATAATTTTTTTTTTTTTTAAATATCTTTTATAACATAGTTGAGAATCATCTTCATATAAAGTTTGGTATAAAAATGAAAATTGATTTGTGATTACAACAATAATCCCACTGTTTTTGCCTTTTCATGTCTTTTTATATTTAAAAAAATGACTTTTTAAAGTCCCAATGTTCTCTACAGAGCACATGGCATAACATATGAATACACTCACATTTATATTAAATTCACAAAACTGTTTTTTCCTGGTAGTCAGGAGGATATAATGGAAATCGCTCAAGTGGTAATTTGCTGCTATGGTAACCGCGCCGCCTGGTTGTCAGCGTTTCGAAGCTGCGCCCACACCGAGACGGTATCACTTCAGAACAGTAACCATTACATTGCAGAGCAGGAAACAAATTACTGTAATTTACGAGGAATAACAGTAATTTTAAAGATGAGTCTAGATTTTCCTGAAATGAGACATCCTCAAATTCACAAAACTGTTTTTTCCTGGTAGTCAGGAGGATATAATGGTAATCGCTCAAGTGGTAATTTGCTGCTATGGTAACCGCGCCGCCTGGTTGTCAGCGTTTCGAAGCTGCGCCCACACCGAGACGGTATCACTTCAGAACAGTAACCATTACATTGCAGAGCCGGAAACAAATTACTGTAATTTACGAGGAATAACAGTAATTTTAAAGATGAGAAAAGATTTTCCTGAAATGAGACATCCTCAAAGAGATTTAGGACAAAAACGACCCCTCCTGAGGGCGCAGCCTTCGACATTTATTTAGCGCACTTGCACTAAACAGTAACCATTACATTGCAGAGCAGGAAACAAATTACTGTAATTTACGAGGAATAACAGTAATTTTAAAGATGAGTCTTTTTCCTGAAATGAGACATCCTCAAAGAGATTTAGGACAAAAACGACCCCTCCTGAGGGCGCAGCCTTCGACATTTATTTAGCGCACTTGCACTACTTTTGTGCTTGTTAAAACCTTGTTTTAAAGATGAAACATCTTTATGAATACATGTAAATAAATAGGAGGACAGGGGATGTGTTATATATAGCCTATATCGTTTCAGCTGCGTTTCAAACATTTCCTTGACCCCAAAAATAAAAGGCAGGGCGCCTATTTTGTCCTGACAAGGAAGTAACCATAGCAACAGTACTTTTAAGAATTATCATCGGACGAAACACTAATTATTTTTCATTTGGCTAACTGCTAGGAGCACCAAAAGACAATTCCGTTACTGCTCGGGCTGAACCTCAACAGACTACATCAGCGTGGATTCATTTGCTAAAACGCATGTTTGGCAAAGAAAAGTCAAAGGCGACAATCTCCGTAACATGCCGCCCACGCTAGAGGACGAACCCCGTGTCTTGAAGAGATGGCACACAAACACACATCAAAGATGAACACAGGAGCTCACAACTTGTTTATAGGCTAAAGGCAAATGAAAAAAAAGCATAATGAAAAAGGTTTTAGAGTAGCCTAACTTAACTAAATCGAGTTTTGTCCTTAAAATGAGGATGGCAATAGTGGCTCCAGACCTCACTAGGATCGGGCTTTCTGCATGAATGATCTTGACTGCTGTCTGGTTTCAGATGAACACACATCTGGGATGAGCCCCGCGGGACGAAGCGTTCAAATGTTATGATGCGTTTGAGCAATGCATCCACACAAACCCCCAAACAAATCTCACTATACTAAGGGAAAACACTTAATATTCTCGCTTTATTATACCTTTAATTGACCAAAGAGACTGACTAGCTATTTTCCACTGAACTGTAGGGCTTAATGTCCTTTGAATTAAATGCGGCACTTTACTGTATTTAAAGTGAATTAAAAACAGGTGACAGTTTGCCTGTAGCATATCACTGTGAACTATAAAAACTTCAGACTAATCACTCATACTGGTGTTAAATACTTCACGTCTCCTTCATTTCTTTACAAAAACTGATTCCTTTAGTTTGTGATTTCGACATTCTCTAAGGCCACACTCGCATTAAGCCAAATAGAAATAATAAGCGCAGTAGGATTAATCCTCACAGACGCATCTCGTTACAGAATCAACAACGCTTTGGTTGTAATTCAAATGTGCAATAGAGCAGTTGATGGCAAATCAGTTTAGGTTAGAGTGAAATTTCGCCATCATCATCATCTTTCACATTCATCCAAAACATAGACTTGGTGAGATTATGACTTATTTAAAGAGCTTGATCTTCTTCGTGGGCCTTAATTCACAAAGACATGTGGTCATATATTTTACATGCCAGTGTTCACCTTGTGATCGCACAAATGCGAAATAGTGAACATAATATAAATAAAAACTATGAAATATTTTAATTATATTAATATATATTAATTACATTGGTCTGTACATTGCTATACAACGCGTTACCACATTTCGTCTAGTTTGCATGGTCTGAATTACTGCGCTAACTGGGAGTTGAAAACAGGAAAATGATCTCAATATTCATTTACAGAAACCTCGATATCACGGTTCATCAGTAGAGGGGGTCACGAGGGCTGGGGAGCAGCAGCTCGCTCGCGCTCCAGATGTGGCACGCGGGAGCTGTCACTTCAGCACTCGCGCGCCGCTTCTGCAAATGCCACGCGCTCACGCGGAGAAGTTGCAAGAGACGCTGCAGAGAAATCTAAAGCAACTCGCCTTTTGTTCTGTGACTACAGCTTTTAACGTCCAAGTGGCCATTTTTGATGGCTAACAGTACCACAGTACATTTCCCGTCATACAAATGAACAACGGTTTAATGAAAATGAAGCAAATAACGAATAGAAATGGATCATGCGATACATAGCTAATAAACAAAAGCACACCTGTAGGTGGCGACGCCACGGTTAGCCCTGAAAACTAACTTGTTATTACGGCTCTATGAATGTTGAGATGTATTTGTTTAGTTGCAACGACCATATAGAACCAACCCGCGCTGTGTTGTCAGACACGCAACAAAAAAAGAAAGAAATGCTGGTTGAAACTCACCTCTGTGCATTTCCTCTCGTTGTGAATTACCGCTGCTTCCACCTTGGTGAGCTCTGTTAGACGAGCTTTATCTCTCCATTTTACCAGACCTACAAATCCCAACTTTTCTTCTATCTCGTTAATCCCATTCCTCAAACTGGAAAGAAACCACTGTATTCCTCACAGAGAACTCAAGTCCGCCTGACAGGTTGTAAATATGAGTGAGTTAATAATCCTGTTGAGAAATGTGCTTTGTAAATCCACATGCAGTGTGTCACCATTCAAATGCGCTGCGAGTCCGGGAAGAGACGAGGGTCTGCGGGAGTCTCGGGCTGAACTGAGGTGATCGCACTAAACGAGGCTCATTTGAGCTTCGGGCGCTGCTCGCTTGAATGAGCAGCCTGTGCGCATGCGCGCTTCACGAGAGTACGACGCGGTCAAGTTAAGGTGACGCGATTCGCCACGGCCGCAGCATCAAGTGTATTGATTTATTCTTTATTGAAGAGTTGAATAATTTACTGTAAAGCAGGCTGTTTTTTTTGACTAGGGACGATGTAGGCAAACAACAGCCTCCAGTCATGATTTCATTTAAATCATTTGACGATTGTCTAGTGATAACAAACAGTCCTCTCCATTAATGCATGAACCTTGTTAAATAGAAATGCAGTTTTTTTCAGGGTACAAGACGCCGATGACTAGTATCTTCTGCTATATCTTCTGGAGATGTGTCCGAACTGTAAGTGAATTTCAAATCAACCCAAAACAACTTGAGGAAAACGCATAAGGTAATAAAGCATTTGGTCATGTTTATTTTCAATACTACATTTCAAAAGACATCTCCTGACAAACAGCATTTAAACGCAACCAAAACATTTGAGAGTGATTCCTTAATAATTAAAACAGAGCACAGATGCTCAACCTGTTAGGACCAATATGCACCTGACCAGAAACAATTAGTGAAAACCATCTGCAATAATTGCATGCCAGTTAACATGCAGGTCTAGTATGCAGCTGTATTATTGCGGTTTGTCAATTGATTTTGCCTTTGATAGTGAAGTCACTTAATTAATGTGCATATGGTGCACCGTAACAACACCATTTTTAATGGTAAAAGAGATTAGCATATAAATCAATGCATGGATCAGAGCACCTGTCAGACATATACAGCTAAGAACAAAACCCTTCACACTGAACATTCTTCAGCAGCACGTTATTAATTTCCAGTGTTTTAAAAACAAGTAAAAGAAATAAATAATACCACTTAGAAATCAAGAAAAAGTACCTAAAGGCATTAGTGACAATGGAAAAACAACCCAGAGTTGAAGTATTTATAACAGTGCCTTACAATCGGAAAGAAGACAGACACAAAGGGAACTACTAGAATGCAAACAGAAGAGAGTGCATGCAGAAACAACAAACCTGCTTTATGTTGACTATGGGCAATTAAGATTGGGGACTTGACTTCCTATATAATGTTGATATCCAGTGTCAAGTTAATGAATCAAAACACTGAACTCTCTGGGGAATCATTTGGATGTGGTTGGCACTGAGTGTTGAGAGTCAATGCAATACTTTATTGTGAAACAATGATGCCATTTTTAATGACTCTATACTGCTAAATGTCTATTAAAATCAGTTTGCAGAGGACACCTTTGTTAACAGGGGGCCTAATTTAGCGCTTAGATTCAAAGCGTTTATTTAGTAAAGAGGTTGAGTGATGTGAAAGAACTATCACGCGGTCACATTCATAGACACAGAGGCTGACAATTAATTAAGTCCTTCAAAACACACAACAGAAAACTTGAAACAAAACAAGAGAAAATTACCGGTTCTATTTCTGCCCACTTGAAATTTACCAGTCACTTTAACGATACAGAAAAATAAAGTTTTAAAATAACATGTTTATCCCAAACCGAAGTACAAAAATGGCACGAAATACTTTTCTCTCTTCTCAATGTGCAAACATCACTATGCGTTTAGGATCATGTAAACAAACTTGACAGAAACATACCTCTTCTCTTCAGAAGTCAACAGATCCACAGAGACATCACTGTTCAAAATAATCACATTTAGATGGATTCCTCTGATTTCAGACATTATTAAATGCATAAAAATTCTCCACGCTCTCTCCGGTTTCTCACATGGCATCAAAATGGAAGCGATGGGCCTCTTGTCTCTTCTCCCGGTCATCGGCTTTCTGTAACACACAAACACTCAAAAGTTTACTACATGCTGTAACTTCACGGTCCTGATTGCAGAAGCTGCGTCTCGCTAGTTAACCGTGCCAGTGAGTTGAATGCAAACACAATACAATGGCGTTTGATACATCAGGAGAGGAAAAGGACAAACACAAAGAGAGAGAGACAGACAGAGAGAGACAGACAGAGAACTCATAGGACACACAATGGCACACTTTACCACGGCAAAATACCTCTGTGTGCAATCACAGATAGAGCCAACACTAGACACTTGCTGCCTATGGCTGATAATAACACACACTGCCGAGCCTGGAAAGTGAGCGTGTGTGTGTGTGCTCAGTGATGATCTCGGCGATGGCAAAAACGATGTCTATTCTCAGCTAGTATGAGTGACTCGCGCACCGGGTTCCTCTGTGAAACACTTGTGAATTGGCTCTCCTGTTCTATAAGGGTCACTTATAAGGATGTATCTTTAGCTTTAGGTTTGTCGTTTCCCATATAGTAACTTGTGGAAAGCATGTCGGCCATAAGCAAAATGGCAAATCAGTTAAGAAGGAAAAAAAAGCAATGTGCCAGACAGATATAAGAAGGGATTATTTTCCTTTTGAAAAGGACTTTATATCTCACAGACCATGCAAAAGGAGCCTGAGGCTTTGACTGAGCGCTGTCAAGCCCTACGCTATCTGCTCAGGAGCATCCAGATGATATCTATTCACAAGATATACAGATTTCTCCACATGATACGGTGCCGAGTCACATCAACATCACTATTCGTCGACTTTCATTGCCATAATTGAGGGTTGTAGTGCAAATACATACCTATGGGTTCATCCTCATTTCAGGTCCATTTAAGTGTGTTCAGTGAGTCATGGGTTAGTCACAGACTCATTGATTACTCTGTCATGAGTGCTCGACTTAATTACATAGTTAGTGATAAAATTAGCCTGTACGCTCCTTCAAACTCATGATCACTAAATAGCAATACTTGCACAGTTGTAGCATGTCTGACCTGTCTGTTTTAGTTCTTCCAGCAGCAGCCTATTAGTAATAGTAATGTAATAGTCTCTGTCAGACCAGCTTCCAGCTATTTAATGATGCAACTTCACATGATTTCTAACACTGCCACAGTACCAAGGAAAGTTCAGTTTCCACAATTTTGTATTATGTTTTTGTTGCAGAAATGCATCTTGAATTCGTCCGCTACACACTGGGTTTGACATGTGCTCTCCAACAAGCACACCTCAAGGCGCTGACATACTTGAACATATATATGTACATAATACCAGGTACTGATGGAGTCGTAGGCAACATATAGTACAGGATCTATATACTGACAGGCTGACATTCACATGACCCACACACATCCGCAGTCTCCTGCATGGAGGAGGATTAGACGCAGTCATGTTGCCTGCGAGGCAATTTTATAAAGACCTTTCCATGTCAAAATCATGTTCTCCTATTATAATTCAATAAACAGATCAATATTACATTATTTATTAAATTAAATTCAGGTGCCTGTTTTGCTGTACACTTGTCACATACTTGTAATATGTTTTTGTTTTGAATAGCAGTATTAAAGTTGCCATGAAATGGACTTCACCCTTTTTTATAAATGCATCTTATTGTGAACAATTCAACTATGCTTGTTTCATAAAATTAATAAATAAAATAATTGATTCAAATGTTTAATCATAACTTCGAAAGAAGACTTCTCTAACCATTTCATCCACATTTCTTACAATTGATTGCAAGCTCATTCAGATATGCCTCCATTCAACATAATCGGTTTCAAACTATGTACAGTGGTGTGAAAAAGCTTTGGCCCCCTTCCTGATTTCTTATTTTTTTGCATTTTTGTCACACTTTAATGTTTCAGATCATCAAACTAATTTAAATATTAGTCAAAGGTAACACAACATGCAGTTTTTAAACGAAGGTTTTTATTATTAAGGGAAAACAAAATCCAAAACTACATGGCCCTGTGTAAAGAAGTGTTTGCCCCCCTGTTAAAACTGTGGTTTATCACACCCGAGTTCAATCTCTTAAATAGGACCTGCCTGACAAAGTGAAGTAGACCGAAAGATCCTCAAAAGCTAGACATCATGCCGAGATCCAAAGAAATTCAGAAACAAATGAGAAAGTAATTGAGATCTATCAGTCTGGAAAAGGTTAAAAAGCCATTTCTAAAGCTTTGGGACTCCAGCGAACCACAGTGAGAGCCATTATTCACAAATGGCAAAAACATGGAACAGTGGAGAACCTTCCCAGGAGTGGCC